ATAACCATTCAAATTTTGTCAGTTTTTCATCACATATACTGTTAGGCCAGAAGCCAACTTGAACAGTGTATAACAAAGATTGCAGGCTAGTTAAAAATCATCATAAATGTAATGTCATATAAGTAGTCGTAGTGAAAGAAAGATGGAATCAATAATTATGAGATCTGACCAGTCTAAACATTGGAGAAAAAAATGAAATAATTAAAAAGACACGTTTATTCATATCAGTTTCATTTCAACAGTTAATGCCTTGCAACTTCTTGCTATGATTCATAACACAATAGGGATGAAGCTAATTTTTTTCAATAGTACAAAAATAAAAATTTTCATATTTACACTGTGTAAAAACAGCCAGAAACAATTTGACAATAGGGCAAAAACAGGTCCAAAGTATACCATGCTGAATCTGCCATAAAAAAGTATCCATTGGAAGTACTTGCCTGAAATTTTACTAATTTTTGGATGAAGAATTCAACAAAACAGTTCTCTTTGTAATATACCTTTTATCATAGGTGTATCTAATTTTGGAAACTTTTAAGAAATTCTGCAATTGCTAACTTGTCATATTGGATACAAATGACTACAAAACTTAAAAATTTATATAATGAAATGAATCATTGGTCAATCCTTCAAAAAAATGCTTATTGCAATGCTTTAAGCTCATTTATCTTCAAACTAAAAAAAAATACATATATTCAAACTGATGAAAAATACTGTCTGGAAGGTTGGAATACTCCTGCATTTCCTCTTCTAATGGTAATTTGTAGTTTGACTTGTTTTATAAACCTCAGTGTGACAGACGCAGATAGCCCAAACACGCATATATTAAGGTTAATTTCCGCCTGACAACAGAAGAGGTCATGTGGAAGTCTTGAGATATTTTGGGAAAGCAAGTCAAGAGGCTGACTGATCCAATTATCCGTAGCAACAGATGTCTAGACAAAAGCCAGACAGGGGACTGATGTAAGATGGAATTCGTGCCAAAACGCAGGACACATGAGAGTTAGAAAATTACTTGGGAGTTAGTTGCTGTCTTGTCTTTGAAGGAGCAAGACTCAAAATGGAAGCGCTGATAACTTATGAACGGAAAGATGAGACTCATTTGATAATGATGGAACTTGTCCGATTCATCCCAGGCAACTCCAGACAAGAAATATAAGAATATGTATTTCTGTTTGATAACCCCAAATTGAAGACGATAACCTGTGGTATTTAACACAGAAGACGCAAAGGAATTTGTATGCTGAGAATACAAACTGCGTTTGAAGAAAAGAGAAAATCAGAGAGGAAAAAAGTATATATCTCTGTTATAAGCTGAATTGTGTAAAGAAGAAAGAAAGAAGAAAACCAGAGAGAGGAAGAAAGTGTATATACCTGTTGCAGTTGAATCGTGTTTGAAACTGAACTGTATACAGAAGAAGAAAGAAGGAAAGAAAAAAGAAAACCCAAGAGAGGAAGAAAGTGTATATCTCTGTTACAGCCGGACAGTGTGTGAAATCGTATTTGTGTCAAAGAAAAAAAAAAGGGAAAGAAAAGAGGAAACGTAAAAGAGAAAAGAAATGACAATGATAAAAAAGAGAACTGATTATAAAGATAAGTAATCATATATTTTGGACCCGTGGTAGAAAGATACACATGCATCCATAAATATTATGTTCTTACAAACACCTTTCCACATGTCAAAATAATAATATGTAACTCCTATCCCATCTCTTTTGGTTATGTGTTAATTTCTGCATTCGTGGTTATTCATACTTATATTTTTATCCGTTCGGGTTCAGTCGAATCCATTTGGAGTTAGGCGTACTTTGATATCCCAACATAAGTCTTGAGATCTGGTCGTCGGATGTTTACTCATGCTTATATTTTCTTTTATTTTAATATTTTGTATATCTGTACATATTAAAGTCCTTATAACAAAATTCTATATGCCTTATCGTTCATCCTTGAGTTGTGGATCAGTATTCGTGTTGAAACCGAAGCGAACCTGGGAAAAGATTATTGTTCGATTATCCTAATCGAACAGTATTCTTTATAATATTTTTTTTTGTTTACTAATTGTCCATTGTCACAATCTGGGAGAGATAGCTTGTATCTCTCCAAAGGTGTGATAATGTATATATCTTCTGGTCAGCGTATGATCGCCTTATAAACCCATTCATCGACTATGGCATATGACACTCAGTTATAGCCAATATTCCTGGAACACCCCATATTCTATCATCATTTGAAAGTGATATTATATCAAAGTCCCATCTAAAAACAAATGTTAATGCTATTTGAAAATATCCTCCAACAAAGGCCATCATGCATTTGGTTGGAACTAAAATTTTGATTACAACACTGGACTGAGATATGATTTGGTCAATGTAAAAGTTGGTGTCATAGTATATTGCAACCCATTGGCCTTCACATACATAACTAAAAGTAATTTCATCACAAATGCTGTAGATTTACTGAGTGCCTTTTCTTCCTTTAGAGGTGGAGATGACGTTCTATTAAATGTTATACAGCGTAACCATGGTTCTTGAACATCTCACGTGTCAAACAAACTGGTTTTCGAATAGAATATTCGAGATGAAAATGCCTCGGTTATCAAACAAAATTTCAGTTCTTGAACAACATTGCCAAACCAAGCTGAGCCGAACTGAGTTAACCCGAACAGAATCATTTCTTAGTCAATCGCCGTGTTGTATACATTCGTGTGTTGTGCTGTGCTTTTCTTTTCCAGGTTTATTGTACTGTGCCTTTTTTTCTCTTCATTAGTCTTCAGTCACAACTCCAAAGAAAGCTAGCAATGATACTGGTAAAGATAAAAGAAAAGTTAAGAGAAAAACAATTGCTGATGATATTGTCTCTATGATGATGATGATGATGATGATTATGATATTGTCTCTATGATGATGATGTCTCTATGATGATAATGATGATGATGATTATGATATTGTCTCTATAATGATGATGATGATGATTATGATGATGATATTGTCTCTATGATGATGATTATGATGATGATAATGATGATTATGATGGTGTTGTCTCTATAATGATGATGCTGATGTCTATGATGATGATGATTATGATGGTGATGATATTGTTTCTATGATGATGATTATGATGATATTGTTTCTATGATGATAATGATGATGATGATTATGATATTGTCTCTATGATGATGATGATGATTATGATATTGTCTCTATGATGATGATATTGTCTTTTCCTACTCAGTTTCATATGACAAAATCAACGATCTATACTATTCTTAAGAGACGATCATGTCTTTCCTTCCCTTTTTCCAAACAATAACATCTCTTTCCTTCCCCTTCCACTTATGCCATCAGCTCTCCTGCATGCAAGTACGGTAAAATTAAAATGTTCGTCTGTATTTTATCTGTTTAGTATTGTTTTTATTTTTTCTTAGATTTAATGATTTTTATTAGACTTGTGCACAAAGTGTTGTTGTTAAAGTTTAAATAAGCAATTATCTTGGGAAGAGGAATGGATTAATCCATTTTACATTGATTCCTATTGGAAAAATAGTTTTGGCTTACGAACGAGCTTCAGGAATGAATTAAATTCATGAACTGAGGTTCCACTGTATCACTGTAATGTCTATTCACTTCATCAGGCAATTTTTAATTTTATCAGTATATGTTGCAAGGAACTGGAGATCTTTTTTGGCCTGCTACTCCCACTTAAAACAAAACTATTTTGTCATCTTGTGAAAACTGTGTAATCTTCATCATCTGTAAAATAATTATAATTATTCTAAGCAACATTTAAGATTGGTCCCTTAATTTGCACATTGATTATCTAAATTTTAACACCTCCAAAACAAAACTACTCTCTTTTAACCATCTGAGAGAACTGTAGGGACGTTGTTATTATTATTATTATTATTATTAAATAAAAATAAAGTTATAATAATAATAATAAAATGAATATCATAAATAAAGTAAAACAAAACAAACAATATCAAAATTTTGTTTAAAATAAATTAAAAAAAAGTTCTCTCAGCATGAAACAGGAACTTTTCCTACCAGAAAATGAACTTCACACCAAAAGATACTGAATTTACTCTCTTCACCACTGACCATTAGAGACATTCTTGTCATAATATGAAGTGACTTCTTCCTTTTATCACGTAACCTTAAAACACTTGTAACCAAAACTACACACACAGCAGTACACAAAAATAAATTGTATGATTTTAATTTACAATTTAACATGCTTTAGTGTTATTTCTGTGTATGTTTTTATTCTTGTAAACACAAGGCTATTTCTGCTGCTGTGATATGAGTGACCCCTCCACAGAACCTTTTCATTTTCTATCAACATGGCTGATATTAACTGCCAGAAGAGTGACACATTACATCTTCCACTGACATGAAGTGAAAAATTATATTGAATAAGTTGTTGCTAGGTTTGCTGTTAGAAAAGTTGGTTGGTCATGCCAGACAATTTTTTCTTGCTGGAATCTATTTTACATTTATAAATCTACCATTCATCCATGCATTGAATATTGCAGCCACATTTGGTTGGTACTTCAGCTATGTATTTAGAGTTTTTTTTATAAAATACAAAGATTATTTTGCAGTGTTATTAGTCCTGAACTGGTATCTCACATCCAGTCACTTTCCCACCATTTTAACGTTTTTTTTTTTACAAATTGTTGCTATTTTTGGAGGAAACAAGTTTAAAGATTAAGTTTAAGTTAAAAATTGGAGAGTTGAAATTTCATTCCAGTGTTCAGTGAAAGATTTAGCACTGTCAAAAAAATTCCACATTAATCTAAGTGAAGGTAAAGAAAGAGAATATTTCTATTGGTAGCATCAGTTTATATTGACACCAGTCGACTACTGGTGGCTGCTATTAATACAGCATTGCAATATTTTTAATTTATTTTAAAAATAGTTTAAGATTTTCCCAATATCTTTGTATCAAGTTTTAAAAAAGAAAATAGCAGAGTGTCACACCTTTTATAAGAATAAAGGTTTATGGCCATATAGCATTGAAACAATGGTTCCCATACAATCACTAAAGTTAAGCAACATTGATCCTGGTCAGTACTTAGATGGGTAACCACCTGGGAATACCAGGTATTGTAAGCTTGGATGCACAGATAGTGTAATGGATAACAGCTCAGAATTGTTAATCGGAAAACCAAGTTCCAATTTCATTTGGGTTCATTATATTCACTTACACACAAATACCCTTGGGGAAGATTTGAATTCATCTCTTCTCTCCTAACTATGGGTTAATTAGTAACAAAAGAAAATTCTTACAAGCTAAAAAGTGTTCACTCAACATACCTTCAGCCCCAGTCAGTGTTCAAATAAAATATCTGGAGACAAAATTTCAAGACTCTTGCATGAATGTGGAGATATTAGGAATCTGGATACTTATTTTTGTAAATGCAAAAATTATGGCACAGGGCCTAAAATAGGAGAGGACTGGTATTCAGTGTATAATCTTTAATTTGGCCAGTCACAGTCACTGTATAAACATACATTTCAACCCCCACCCCATCTTTCTGCAGACTGACTAATGATCACTCTATGTTGCATTCCAGTTCTCAATCTTGTTGGTGTTTGCCAAAAGCAAGGAAAGGCCACACTGCATAGTCACAAGGTAAATAGGATGAAAGAAAAGCCACACCAAGAAATAAGAATGCCATCCTTGTTTTCTACCTACCAGCTCCTTGTACATCTACTCATCCTGATGTGGTGGCTGACAAATACAAAAAAGGAGGCCTCGGAAGCACAACATGAACACAAACATCTCCCACCAAAAGTGAACTAGTACTCTCCCCAATCCCAAGCACCACTGTTAATGTAGACCAGCATCCAGATATAAACTATTTCCAGTTTTGCTGCCACTTGATCTTCAAAAGTCCCACATTCACCCCATTTACTTCCCAGCACCCTTTGGTTAAAGTAGATGCTGCTTAGAAGCCTGAACTTCAAAAGAAAAATCTGCCGATTCATCAAATAGAAAGATAGAGATCAAGATAAAACCACCTCTTCTCCTTCTATATAGGTGTCTATACTATTGCAATTGTTACTATTGCTAAAAACATCACATTTACACATCTCAGTCATGCTCCAAACACCATGGGTACCTCAGCATGATGTAATGGTTAGCAAGCTTGTTTCACTAGAACAATTATTACTGAGTAGCGAGTTTGATCTTCACTGCATACCCCATACTTTTGGCCTTGTGCTACATCCAAACTATGCTTAGAAAATCATCATACTTCAAACATCATAATGCCACAATTTCTCTATGAAATCCTTACTAGTCCCACTAGTTTGTCATGGGAGGACAATAAAAATATTTAAAATTTTCGCTAATGATTACTTACAATGAATTAAGATATTCACAAAAAATGAAGAAAACAATTGTTAGTATGAGAAACACCAAAATTCCTCATATCAGTTAATTCGACAAAGAAAGTGCAGGATTTAAAAGTAAAAGGATTCACTCACGCAAACACACACACAAGCATTCAAACATTCAGTTACAATAATAATGACGAAAAGACCTCCCACACCTACCAGAGAACTGAAATTTTAAAGAAAAAAGGGGTAAAAAATAAAGGTATTCAAATCAGTTCACATTCTCCAACTAAGTAAAAATATATAAAAAAATATTTCAAAAAAATATAATGGCTTACACTCACCTAATATAGACTGGGATGACTTCTGAAGAGTTACAAAGACCCTGATTCTTCTTACCTAACTGATATCAAGAAGCCACTATAGTATTTCTTCAATTATCCAGATACTTTGTGACAGGAGTTGAAAAAATATGTTCAGATAATTCAAAATTCTGTATAATTGAATACCTGAATTATCAAAAAAAAAAAAAAAAAAAAAGAAAGAAAAATTACAAAAATCAAATAATTGTTGAATTTTAATGAAATTTTAAGGATTTATTCACAAATGAATGAAATTATTTTTGAATATTTTATCTATTTTCTTTTTTAGAAAATCTTGGTAAAAATATTTTTTTTATTTAACAGCTGTTACTCTGACAATTTGATGAAATTTTGAGAAATTATAATATCAGCCTCTTCATATTTATATTAGTTAAAAGCAGGACTCCTTGGAGAATTAAAATTATCAATTTGTTTTTGTCAAACAGAAACATCATTTGCCAAAAATCTCTAAATCATAAAATAAAAAAATACAGCAAAACAATCACATTATTTAATTAGGAAAATAATTTTCCTAATTAAATAATGTGGTTGTTTTACTGCATTTTTTTTTTATTAAGGACACTATTGTCTTAAGAAAAAAAATTTTTTCAATCAATAAAGAATTTTTACAAGAATAGTTTTCATTTTATTAAATTTTAATTAGATCAATTTATTAAGTTTTAAAATACTGCATTAATTTCAGCCTTTTAGATGATATTTATTGTGAAAACTATTTACTAATCATATATAGTAAAGCTTAATACCAGTCTTCAAACACTAAGATTTTTAAAAGAATTTTGAATTTTTTCAACATATATGTGTCCATTTTTAAAGTATGGTCGACTATTCACAACATTATCAAAAAATAAGAACGATGACTATAGTAAATTTAAAGTCAACATTCCGAAAATCAAATTACATAGAATATTTTTAAAAACGTTTTAAGATTACTGAGTACTTAAAAACTGAAAAAAAACTAATAAAAAAGGTGTTCATGTCATTTTCTTAAATTATTTTTATAGATAAAGTCTCCATAGAATGATAATCAATCTTTCACCACCTCATCAAAGATGTAAACATGGCTACTGTCAGTTAAAAACACTGCTACTATTTGCTTAAAAAATTAATTTCTACAGTAATTAAAACTTAAAGTAAATAATATTTGTTTCAAATCAGATTAATTATACTTTAAATCAGCTAATATTTCTCAAATAATGTTTCAGAAAAGTATATTTTATTTTTGGAATATTTTTTAAATGAAAGATGACTAAAAAAGGGTGCTAATCAACTACTTTAGCAAAAAGAAAAATACAATTTCTACTTGAAATACACTAGAGTATACTAGAAATAGTAAATTTAATCCTTTAGCTTTACTAGAAATGATAAATTTAATCCTTTAGCTTTCAATTAAAGCTAAAAATTGAAGCTTCAAATAAGCTTTTTCATTTTTACAAATAAATTAAAAACAATTTGATTATCATAATTTAAGAGTTCAACACACATTTAAGTATAGTTTCAAGTGTGCCATGAGGTAAATAAGGTTGAAAAACATTGATTCAAGTTTTCAAACCCCGCTTTGCGTCTAAAAATACTGCTGACTGTGGATTTCTCTCTATTTCACCATGATCTTGATTTTTGGTATTCCTTGACTCCCTATATAACAAACAGATAACATAATCTGTTTTCATTTTGTTTTACCATTCAAATTTAAAGTCATTTCAATGCATAGGATCATGAAGTATAAGAAAACAAAGCTTTATCGAAAAATAAAACCAAAGAATGTGCTGTCTTATCAGTCAGAATATTTTTTTTTTTTTTTTTTTAAGCATTGTGCCCCAAGCAAGGCGTGAAGCCACTAGGATGCAGGGGGTTTGGAGCGGGAGCAGATAAGAGTGATAGGAGAAAGGAAGAGGAGAAGGATAGTGGGTAGATCAAGGTAATTGGAGATGTCAATTGACATTACATTTGAATAGTTGGAGATTATAGCTTTCAGGGAAACAGTAATTGGGGAGGGTGTTCCACTGGCGAGAGGTGCAGGTATGAAGCTATTGGAGTAGAAGAGACGGCTACATTTGAAGGTTTCTCTGATTGTAAGGGTGAGAGCGGGATGCCAGCCTCGTAGGGCGCTTGAATTCATGGAGTCTGGGAACCAGAGAGAGCAGCTCATCAGAGCAGTTACCATGGAAGTATTTGTAGAAAAGACAGACAGAGAGAGGCGACGCGTCTGTGAGAGAGTGACTGCAAGCAAGACGCTAGATCAGGGCCAATTAGATTACATATCCTTCTCTGGATCTTGTCAAGAACTCCGAGGTAAGCAGAAGGTGCTCCAGCCCATATATGGCAGCAATACTCCATGCAAGGGCGAATGGTTGTTTTATATATTTGAAGTATCGATTCAGGGAGAAAAATTTCCTGGCGCGGCACAGAGAGCCAACTTTCCTCAAGCGGTGAAAGAAGCAATTGACTCAATGTATTTGTTCCATCTCAGGTCAGCAGTCAGCGTGAGACCGAGCAGACGCAGGGAGTTGCTCTCAGGAAGTTGATTATCAGACATTTTAATGGGGGCAGGGAAGGATCTCTATGGTGGTTAATGGAGAGTAATTTAGTTTTAGTGGCGTTAAAGTTGACCAGCCAATTCTTGCCCCAGTTAACAACCGATTGGAGGTCCATTTCAAGACGCACGGCCAGGTTAGTTTTGTCACCGACACTAGACTTGTTTTTGAGGGAGTAGTGTCGTCTGCATAGATGCCGACCTGGGAATCTATAGCTTCAGGAAGGTCATTGATGAAAATGAGGAAAAGAGTGGGGCCAAGGATGGAGCCTTGGGGCACACCTGCGTTTTCTATTTCACATCCAGAAATTGTGGTACAGATAATCAAGGAAGCATTGTAGTTGGCATCTTCATTCCATGCAAGTTAGAAACATTCATTCATCTTCTGCTAAATTTTGATGAAGGAAACCATTTCATTTTTTTCCTGATCTTGACTAAGCTGATATCTGCTGCATGAAATTCCTACTGTTCTATTGTCATGGCTCTCCTGTCAGGTAAACATAGGAACACTGTGTTCATTTTTTTGGCACCACTTTGATACAGACAAAATTGGCATCAAAGACAACAAGATTTCTGCCAAGCATGTGGAACATGTACCTGTCAACAATCCTTCCAAAAGGGCATAGAATGTTGCAACAAAATAAAGCATGTCCAATGGACTCCTAATCACTACAGCATACTCATTCACATAAAATTGCTAGTCCCACTAAACTGAGCTTTTTACCAACCCAGAGAGTGCCTTACAACACTAGCCAGATGAGTGATGCCTAGTCATTATTAAAGTATTTCAACCCAGGTGCCCAAGTCTAACAGGATGATACTCAAAATTCATCAGACTGAGCTTATCCATCAAATAAT